TCCTTAACTCAAATTCTATGTGGGAAGCCAAAAGATGTAAAACAATGATACTTGGTCAAGTGACACTCAGAATTTTTATCCCATGGACAGATCTAGTCAAATCCCACCTCTGGACCCATAATAGAAACAGCATCATACCCTCTCTCCTGACCAAATACAACCTCATTTTACACCTTTTAAGTATGACACTATGCAAATGTATTGCCAGAAACAGAATTCTGTAACTCCCTACTCCTGAAAAAAAAAAAAAAAAAAAAAAAAAAAANAAAAAAAAAAAACCACAATCAAAAAAATAAATCAAAAAACCACCAACACGCAGGTACCCGCTTCTGCTTAAAAAGAAACCCTTATGATGCTTTCAGGCATTCTTGTGATTCATTGTATCTGTTAGCTAGTCAACTTCAACATGAAGACAGAAATGTCTTCAGAAAAAAAAAAAAAGGTTTCACTTTTTATAGTGACAGGGGACTACGAGCATTATAAACATGTCTGCTTCCAAATCTTGTATTTGGGTGTTTTCAAATTAACAAAAGGTTTCACTAAATATGTGATTTTGCAGCCTATGGAGATGACCGTCCCCTCAGTACCAAAATTCAACGAATACTCAATGAATCTTCGGTGACTCTTCAAAATATTCCAGTGTAACAGTGTTATCTATAATACCATTAACACTACAACACTTAGATAAGATTTCATGTAGTTAATGATAATAAAGCAAAATCAAACTGATGCAGCTTTTTTTTCCCCTCTGAAAAAGTCTTGTTATTTCCACCTCCAATGGAAGAAAATCTGTATCAATCCTTCCTCCTATTTTGACTAAATCACGGAAATTTTAGTGAGAAGCGATCCCTGAAGCTCATCCAATCTCACCTCTGACTCAAAGCAAGGTTGCTACCAAGACCACGTTGGGATAACTGTGCCTTCATCTAGCAATCCTGCAGCCTTCACACACAGAGGTTCTGTAGCCTCTCTGGGTGACCCAGGCCCTGCTGTGTTACCCTCCAAGGGCCAAGTTTTCCTTTGTGCTCAATCTGAATCTTCTGAAAGGCCGAAATCAGCATCCGTTACTTTGCTGCACTACCCTGTCACTGTTAAAAACACTTCGGCTCTGCCACCTTCAAGTGGCCGCCCGCTACTATTATGGCACCCCTTTTCTGGGCACAACAGCTTAAGTTTGGTTGCAATGGTACCACACAGAAGAAACCTCCCTCGATCTCCTTTTCTATACTACTTTTAGCAGCCAAACATGGAGTCTGCCTTACAAGAGTGAAAATTTTCCTTTATTTATATATGCTTTGTTAAATAGCAGTGAAATATGGTACCCCACAGAACTGACAACTCCTTGAGGCTCGGCGTAGGCGGCAATTTCTAAATTAAAGGCAGAGTCTCCCTTGTTCTTCCTCCAAATGTCACCCACAAGGGGTTTGTAGCCCCCTTGAAAAAAAATCTCACCACACACAGACTGACAGTATTTTTGCACTCAGATCTGTGCTCAATGGTAACATCATATTTTTGTTTAACCATTTAAAACCTGTGGGGTAGGGACAGTTCTTGCACAGTTAGTCTCTTTTACATGTCGATACCTCTGCAAAAAAAAACCCGGCTTGTGACTCACCTTAGTTTTCCAATATGGACAGGTTAAGATACTTGGCTTTGAATCAAGGCTTTTCCAATGAACTAGGCTAACAAAGTAATCTAACAAACACAAGTCCAAATGAAAATAAATAAAACCCAATTCTTTCACGCAAGAAGGATAAATTATGCAAGGAAAAAAAAAGAAAAAAGAGCAATGTCATTATTATGCGAAAAAGAAAAATCACTCAAAATCTGAAAGAATATCAAGGGAAAGAGCAGGGTGCTTCCTGTAGAATAAAAAACAATCTGATGCTAGTTGGTATTTTTTTTCCAAAAACAAACAAACAAAGGGAATGATTGTCCTGTGACACCATATTGCCTATAGCACTATTAGCTTCCATTCAATTACCTAGTCCCTGCGAGTACTACAAGCGATCAAAGAATGAGAACACATCTTCCTACGTTACAGTTTTGCCCTTTGTCACAGACGAAACAAATGGCTCCACAACTTGCTTCCAGAGTCAGTTGGGGTTCTCCTATCAGCTCCTCTACGAAGCTTTGCAGTGGCCTGCGAGCATACAAACCTGCACTAATCTGCCCAATCAATTTGTCCAATAAATAAGATCTCTCGTCTATTAGAAGGTGGCAACAATCATGGTAAACATTTATTTTGATTGAAATATTTTTCCACATAAAATGACAGATAATAGATCGTAATACATGATTAAATCAATCTCCTCTATCAATCTTTTTTTTTTCCTCTCCTCTCTCAAAAGACATGCATAGGACACTGTCCTTTATTTTTACAATTGCTTTAAAAGCACTCAGGAAATCATGCGGTCCCTTGAGCAGAGACAAAGGGTCAACAGACTTTAATAACACAGATAAGTTAGGACACTACAGGGCCTGACGATGCACAGTATGCAAAAGCATGAATACTAATACTTAGACCCAATAGAATTTAGTCCGAATTAAATTTGTTAACTGCTCGGCATTATTAGGTAGTATTTTTTTTTGCTTTATCACCAAACTATTGCACAGATGCATAAAAATCACCTGAGATACCTGTGCATATACACATCACATTTATAAAGCAACCTTATGGAAAGTTTATACTAATTACAAGTTTTACTTACTAGTTGGTTACTGCTCTATCAAACGCCACAAGTGCTCATAAAAGCATCAATTGATAAGCAGATAATAGCCTACTGAAACATTAATTTTTCAAAGCTTGATTGTTTTTATTACTATAGTAAAAGCTGTGAAGACCAGCAAAGGGTTTTTCTTTTCCAATCTATCCTCTGTTCAGTCTCCTGGGGGCTTTGAGAGATTGGAATGATACTTTTTCTTGTATCGAACAGTTCTAAACTCCTTTTCGAGCATTGTACTGTTGAGTCTTAATTGTCTCCCTGAACAGTGTTAAAACTGTATTCCTGTACAGATCACATGTAGGCTTTTGGTGCTAATACCACAGAACCACATAGGTTGCAAAGGACTTTGAGGGGTCATCTAGCTTGAACTCTTCTTTAAATTTGGTCCGACCAGACCATGTGGCTCAGGGTCCTGTCCAGCCCAGTTCCCAGAGACTCCAAAGACACAGAGTCTATGACCTCTCTTGGCAACTTGTGCCAGAGTTTTCACTCACTCTGAGGGTGCATTCTTATATCTAATGAGAATTTCCCCAGGCTGTCATTTGCCCCATTGCCACTTGCCTTTTCACTGTGCACCTCCAGGAAGCGGCTAGCTCCATCTTCTCAGTACCCTTCTATTAGGTAGTTGAAGGCAGCACTAAGATCTCAGCTTAGCTTCTCTTCTTTTGCTGAAGAAGCTCAGTTCTCTCAGCTTCTCTTTTGGCATGAAGTTCTCCCATCTCTAAACTGTTTGATGGGGACTCTGGTGGGGCTGATTCTAGTAATTCTTTTTTTTTTTTTTTTTTTTTTTTTAAACTGAGCACCTTGATCCATGTGCAGTCTAACAAACACAGAGCAAAGGGAATGATCACTTCCTCTGACCTCCTGGCTATGTTCTTGCTTCTTGTCTATGTGGCTGGCTGCCTCTGCTACAGGGCTACACTACTAACTTGTGTAAACACGTTAGAAATGACTCAAAGTTCTCACCCATAAACATACTTCATACCATTCCATGTAAGGTCCCATGCCAGGTACTTCTGCCAAAGCACCCAAGAGACGTTTCAGATCTAACTGTAACTGTAGGGACACACTCACCCCTTACTTCTTAGCGCTCTACATACACGTGAAATTCATGTACGGACTTGTCATCGGCACCCTCAGACTACGAAGGTCCCATGAGACTCTGATGAAGAAGGGAAGCAGGCTGGGTTTTGAATGGACACATAAGCAATAAAAGTCTCTTTCCAAGCACTGATAGCCTTCATTCTCTTTCCATCAATTGTTTATAATCATATTCATGCAACATTTAATTCCAAGCATTACCTCCCAAACTGCACAGGTTGCCTGCAGAAATGTCCTTAAGAAACACAGATTGCTCTGCTGAAACACGATTATCTCTAAAAGCCTCTGCAACAGCATAATGCTTAGTGAAAATTTAGAAAGAACAGTTGGCAGCCCCTCTCAGTAGTCAAATATAGAAAATCCTTCAGATTCAGAATGTCACAGGCTAAAAGAATTATACAGCAATTTGGGCACATTCTACCTGGTAATTCCTCGTTAACATGCTCATACCAGGCTGCTCCTGCCTGCTGACAGAGGCTGGAGGTATTCCCGAAGGGCTATCCCTTGGATGTACAGAATGAAATATAAATAGAGGACCCTGTGCCTTGTGTTGTAGGTGTCCCTGCTTGAGCAGAAGGGTTTGGACTAGACGGTCTCCAGAGGTCCCTTCCAACCTCAGCCATTCTGTGACTCTGTAGCAAGTTTTAGAGCATGGCACACTATGTAAGGAAAGGCTGACTTTCTTTAAAAGTTACTTTGGGAATCTTCCCAAGTAAGAATCTTCCCAAGTTCATCTTAAGATGAACAGGTGTCCTTTTCCCCAAAACTCATATCTCAAAGAGAGTCAGAAGGTGGAAAGTTGTAGAGAGATAATTTCAAAAGAGTAAAACAGTACTGAAAAAGCCAAAACTCTGAGACTTAGAATGTTCTAAATGCTCTCATCATTTAAGTTTGCGCTTTAACACACTTCATAAATGCAATTCCCCCAGGAAGGTAATCTAATATTTCTTCTGTGCAAGAACTGCCCTCTTGTCTGCACGATTTTAATATACTCCTGTTAGCTTAGAAATGCTGGCACTGGGTTAAATCAAGTTAAATTGGAAGTACAGGATATTGCTTTAAAACTTCTTCAAACAAGGCAGGCTATTACAGAGCAAGCAAGCAAGGAAACGGTTAACAAAAACAAAACAAAACTTAAACAGCATCTGTGTAGGATTTAAGTGCCTCTCCTACCTTCTGTGCTTAATCCAGGACTTGAAGTGAATTTTGCTACATCGACAATCTTTACAGCAAACTGTTGCCCTGTTTCCCTGTTGATACATCGCCGCACAACACTGAAAGGACCCCTGAAAGACAAACAGAGAAAAATCAGCAATAAAATATCCATTCTTTTCCAATTATTTCCATTTCAACTGTAGATTCCAACACATCATTCAAATACAGTATTTATACAGAAGCTTGTTTCACTCTTCCTTGTTGCCCGTAAAGTAAAATATTAGTTTGACAACAGGCTAATATGAAGATCTCTTCATGAACTTTGTATATTTCTGTATTAAAGAAAGCTCAAATATATTCTCTTTTCAAACTAGTTTAGAAGGTCTATATTCTTAGAAACTTTATATAATATTATTCCTAAATTTTAAATGGCTATTTTGATGCACAGTCCAGACAAGTGAAAATGTATACAACTGAATTTCAAACTTCCTGAAGTGCTTTTAACTCGAGTAATATTCATGATTTATACTCTAATAGATCACATTCTGCAGCTCGTATTCCTCTTGACTTCAAAAAGAAAAATTAGCAGCATTGACTTCAGAGCTTCACTGACAGCACCAGAGAGAATAAAAAGCAAAACAGTGAGGGGACAAGTCAGCCCTTGCTTTCAGTTCAATATTACGGTTTAGAAATTACCATTATTTGAAAGAATTGAAAGGATATTACTCTAGAGTAATGGCAAAACAACTAAAGTTGTCATGGACTTTTTTTTTTTTTTAAACAATTAGCTTTATTTTGAATATATTTGACACCAGTGCACATCAACAGCTTATGCAACAGTGAAATATCACAAAATTCTATCACTTGTTCTCAACTTTAGTGCTTTAAACACCCTCCCCACAAAATTGCAGACACTGAAGGTCTATTAAAGCTAATGCAGGTGGATGCTCATACCACATTTAACTTATAACAAGTTATTTAGAAAATTGCAATTTTATTTTCCAAAACATGAGCCAATTCAGTGATAATTCTAAGCTGTTCCACTTTAAAAACCTCACTACTGAAATGCATACATGGGGTGAGGTTTCTTTCAGCAGAAGACTTTAGGTTTCTGGTGCTTCCATACACTGTTAACAGACAATAAAATCAGACAATTATGTCAAGTAAGGCATTCAGACATGAAAAATTGTTCTAATGGGTTGCGAAAATGAAACAAGACCTTTCAAGACTGCAGCAGTTGTGACAAAGTCAGTCCTTTTTGTTGCTACATATTCAGTGACTGACATGCCTGTAGATGAAGAAACTCATTTTACAGTCTTCACAAAAAGATATTAAGGGGAAATTCTGAGCAGAAAGAGTCAATGCTGTGAAGCTCATCTACTGATTGAACCATCACCTGCTGAGTGAAATAAAAGGTTAAATATAGCTTAAAAGATGGATTCTTCCACCTGGGCAGTGAACTGGAAATTGGTTTATGGGTTTTTAAGCAATGAGATTGCAAACCAACCCAATTCCCCCAAATAAAAGGCTCTTTAAAAAGGTAAAAAGGTCTAACTGAGGGCACTCACAAATTCTTACCACTTCAGCATGCACCTGGATGACTCAAAGAATATAATTCATTACGCTACCAAACCTGTACCCTCAAAGCTGATTTTTGTATTCTTTAAAGAGCATACTCCACCGTTTCCTTAAAATAGGATGATTTCTGACAGAGTATGAATACCAAACCAGATAATGAATGAAAAAACAAACATTCAGATGCTACAAAAACATTTATTAACACAATTCTATATGTGTAAATTATGTAACCTCACTCAAACAGAACTACTTACAGAAGGCAACTTAAACACACTCCTACTGTCTGAGCAAATTATCCGAACAGATGACTATTTTCTTCTTATCTGTATCCACACCTCACTATGACTCAGTATTTATAGTTACCCTGAATGTTTCAAAAAGGTGTTTAATTAAGACTCTAAATACGTAGCACTCTTCTGATATCTGTAAGTAAAAAAAGGTTCCACTAGTCGGGATTGGAGCTGACTTGCCCAGAGTAACCGTTTATTAAGGATTCCCAGTTTATGTGGACCAGTGCTACCTTCTTATCTCAAGTCCCCGTTGACTGTTACAGCACCTGTCAAAAGTAAAACTGCTTTTAAATAGAGTAAAATGTATTTAAACCATGATAATTTAAACACATTTCAAAACCTTGACTACAGCTTCAGTATAACACCAGCAATATTCATTTTCATCCATAATTACCATAAATCCCTAGAATTTGAGTTCATTTAACTAAAGTAGGTGCTTCTTTTTTCTTTGTTCTCATTAGTTTTGCCGAAAATCTTTATGAAGGTGTTAATTAACATTTTTCGCATAATCTTATACAGAACTGCCGATAACTAGAGAGTAGAGAAGCCTGACAGAAGCACCATAGCCCTACTGATTAATAGGCCAATGACTTCTGCTCACTCATGATCCTATAGGGACCCTGTGAATATAACCTTTCCCTCACTGATGGCCAAGGTACTTCCAGATTTCCTCTAGTCTTGCCCATCCACCTGAATAAGCGTACAAACTCCTAGCAGCCAAGGAGCGATGGCTGGAGAGGCATCAAACAGAAAAGAACAGTCCGGCTGCCAAAAGGATTGGATTTTGTGTCACCCTGAGCTCTCCCTCCCTCCTTCTTTTTCTCCCTCTCCCCCTCTCTGTCCCTTTCTCTCTCCCTCTCTCTCAACTGTGACTTATATTTTTCCTCCTCAGTACATTAAAAAAACTTTAGAACCCCAACTTGAGCAAGCTCAGTCCTGAATACTGCTATGTTTGGGGCAGAGCTGAAACAGACACGTGTACATTAAACTTATATATGCTAAGGACAAAAGTACTGTAATCAACAGTCTGCAATGAAAAACCTGGAGATGATAACTCCCTAAATAAGGAAAGTTCTAAATCTCTCACGAATTCTTATCTTGCAAAAACGCTTTCTAAGTGATTGGATAATAATTACTTCAAGAGACCGGAAACATTTATATCACAAATAAACATTCAAAACAGTACCCGTTCAGTTCCATAACAACAAAAGGTACTAAAAAAATGCACTATAACCTGGAACCTTACTTAAGGTATTTACAGAACAACCAGCAGTGCCCACTATACACTCATTCTATTAAAAATACATCAATTTGAAGTCTCACATGGAAATCAGAAGTTCTTTTTAACATAATTTCAAGATTATGTTCACATAATCCTGTGTTCACAGGCCTCAAATATCCCAATTTTTCAAGACTAGCACTCTCATAATTGAACCTCAAAGCAGTACACGATACATACAGTATGCACTAGATGTTATACATTCAATGAGAAAAGCAACAAAATAAAACTTATTACCAATTTCAGGTGATTTCTTATTTCACAAATTTTTAAAAGATTCACGAAAGGTACCCTCTCAATTGCTGGAACCTCCTATTTGAATTGAGAGGGAGTATAAAGTGGAGAGACTAAGATTACTTGAAGATAATTATTACTTTTGCTGCGTTTCTTTACAAAAGGCAATTTTAAAACAATGGTTTTAAGCAGCTACTACGGCTTCCGTGTACCAATTAACAGAAAAGACCTTTCAAAGTTGTCGCTTGCTTTTTTATATTTTCCTCACAGCTCCTCACAGAGATACTCTGCCTTCTCAGGAAAAGAAAAAAAAAAAAACAATCCATGTTTTCTGGAATAGCCATTTTACACCATAACCTTATTTGGAAGTTAAACAACAACCAAGTCCTTCAGTCTCAGCACTAAATCACACTCTCTTCCTCAAGACGGAAAAGGACTGAACATTTTTCGCTCAGGTGCCACTGGTGATACCAGAGGTGATTCGACAACTGTGTCTGCCACTGAGGCAGCACTAAGTTGCTCTCCTCGCTAAATAGCGATTCCTCTGCCTATTACTCTTGCAACTCAAATTACACAGATCTAAAACAGAGAGGTAAGGCCATGAGGGTATGTAAAGCTATAGCTCTAGATGCAGGTATCAGAAGTGTTACAGATATATCTGAGAAATTTGTTCATTTATTAAAGCAAAGGAACTTGCACAATTATGTTACAAAATACACCTTCATCCTACTACAGTCATGAGAATTAAGAACTACTTCCAGATTGCAGTGTAACAAGTTCTATATTTAATTTTTCCTCTCTGCTACTCTTTAAAAGACCTGCCTGCTGAGATGCGCAATCCCTTGGTTTACAACTAATTCTCCCACCCCTACCCCAACTTCCAAAACTTTTCACTGCAGTTAACATGAGCAGAACAGATTGCCCTTGTTCAAACTTTGAGAACCACTCAAATACATTTGTGAGGACTGACTAATTCCTTCCAGTGATATTTTGCCAACATTGGCAGCAGCAGCACATTCCACCACCTGCAATACTTGGATTCCTACCTGCAACATATATCAAACAGCAGAATGTATTTCAGCTTTCCTCACCTGCAGTTGGGATACATACTGCTTCTTGCTATCAAAAAGAGCTTTACAAAAATGCTGGAATACAGTGGAGCAATGTAGATTTAAGCAGATTTTTATTATATGTATGTATGATCATAGATGTATGTTATACATAGGCAATGAGAGAGTAAATAGTAATGCCAAAGAGATGCCTCATAACCAGATCTCTTCTTGCTTCTCAGGTGTGCTGGAGTTAGCAGAGCACATTCTAGCATCACCTTAACTCTACGGAAACTATTTTTCTAGCACTTTCTGTGATGTCTAACACTGAACTGTTACTCATGCATCAACCTAGAAAGAATGTGATGAATATCAATCATTAATTGATCTCTCCTTCAGCAAGTACGATACTGAAATTAGCAAAAAAAATCCTAGAAATCCTAGACTATCCAAGTCTTTTTGCCTTTTCTCTCACTTTAAATCCTCTCACTCACTGCATGCCGTTACAACTTGAAGGACAAAGCTCATAGGTGACATTGTGGAAGCTTTCGGGCGCACAGAGGAGAGAGCAAAGATCTTAATTTGTTGATTTGTCTGTTCTGCTTCCTCTCCCCTCTCCTGCAAGCCAATCAGGTAAGTGTGAGAAACAGGTTGCAACTAGAAGCAACTGGATCACCCCTAGCAAGCACCAATAC